GCATCATAAGCATTTTAGCCTCCATAAGAGTACTGTCTAAAAATGGACAAACTCAAAATCTTCCCAAGGAGAGGACATCTTTGAAAGATCCCATGGGAGCACATTAATCCAGAAACAGGTGCAATAAACCCCAGAGGTAACAGCAGACCACATCAAGACACATTTTATATCTTTCCTCGTGTGTCAGCTCAATGAAAAAGCCCGGTTTGGAATGATATTAATGGAAGGACATTTTATGTTCCGTCGTAGAACCTGAAAAGGGCTATAAAACCATGGCCGGAGCAACATTTATCAAATGAAACAGTTATGTAGATGTAACTGTCTAAAACTCCTCATTATTTTGCAAGCAGACACAACTAAACATTGTATTGAGATTATGGCTTTAATTATCTTGCAAGTTTAACATTTTGAGAGCTTGCTTATCACGCACTGTCAGTGATTCTATAAATTTGAAAAGGACATTTGTGTATTTATAATTGAGTCTGGATCTTATGGTTGTTAATTTCACTATTTTTGGATGAGATTTTACAAGTAATTAATGTAGAAGTTCTATGAATACCAAAGGGTGCTTAAACTCTTTTCATTTCATGTGTATGTATGGGTAATTTATGACACCATTTAGGCATTTAGTTTGCTTGTTAGTGTTAAGTATCATTGCTTTGTAACTGGCTGATGTTTTATGCTCTAATAAGATAACTCAGCCACTAAACACAAGCACTGATGGATTGACAAAAATGCATGGACTAGAAGTCATTAAAAATTTCACAAAAAAAACACAGAATTAAACTTTCCCACTGGTCTAGGTACTGTTTCTATTGTTGTAAATATTAAAAACATTAAAAAAAATATAACCCTACATCAAACCGACATGAATTGCCTATTTAATGTGATGGTTATTTGGATATACTTTTTCAACAATTATACAAATTGCATTATAAGTGTTTTAATAAGAGAGCCCAAAGGCAGACTGTCTCTGAAGGCAAGCAGAGGAGAATACGCAAAACAAAACAAACAGAAAAAAAAAATCTGCAAACTGTGGAAAAAGCAAACCTTACTATGAATAGTTTGTGCAATGCAATTCTAACAAGGATCTGATTAGCAAAAATAAAATTTTGTGTCATATCTATTGAGAGGAGTAATGATAATTAAAAGGTAGGTGTAGTAATTAACAAACTGAATGAAGGTGTGGGAAGTAAAGTGGTTTATGTTACTAATCTGGTTCAACATATGTAGATTGTCTTTGGGACTCTGCCTTGACTAACCCTAACAATGGAGATCATACATTGTTGTACTACAAAGCTGTTTAAAAGCTCAATAGGATTTGGAACTTTGGATATGGGAGTGTCCATGTAAAATGCTGCAAAAAATAAAATAAACAATCACAATTGTGCAACTGGAAGGAAAGCTTGCAAAAAAGCCAACAAATATGTAAAATCACTAAGCTTATACCACGGCCACATTATTAAAAACATTACTACTATTTTTCATGGTAATTTCAATTTCCAGGTGCTGCTTCTTATTTGAGACACAAGAAAACCTTCCCCCATTCAAATGTTTTTGTCTTTAGAACCACCTGCTTTTGTACTAAATAAAGAGCAAAAATCAGATCCAGGTAAGAAGTCAACCAGCTTTGTGGTACAGAAAATCCCAAAGTGAACCTGAAGTTACCTCGCCAAGCCACTAATCCCGCTACAGGGTGACTATCTGACACTAACAGACAATAAAACATAGATGCACCAAAATACACACAATGAACAGAAAATGTACATGAAAAGAAAAATTGACAAAACACAAGACTTTGACTTAGACTTTGACAAACTGAACAAAGCTGAATATCAGACACCCTCTGATATGCTATTTAAAACTTGGAAACAGAAAATCGAAAAAGACAAAAGGAAACAATTTTACAGAACTAAACCCTCTTTATCTCAGACTTTGTGTTCTCACTTATCTTTTTTCTTTTCTTCTTCTTTCATATCTTTGTGTTTTTAACACACCACCATACCCTCCTTCTCCCTCTCACAGCTTTCTTTTCTGCTTCATATTGTATTTCTTCTCATTTTCCTTATCCTGCCCATTTCCCTCCAAAGCTTTTTACCCTCATTTCATTCTTCTCTGACCACATACATCCAGGTTTGAATTAATGTCTCCACTCCTTGATTAATCTTTTTCTGCTCTTTGTTCTCCCTCAGCCCCCTTTTTCGTATCTGTTCTCATTCCTCTAATTATCTTCTCCCCATCTTTCATGTATTCGGTTTAACCTTTCCTCTTCGCTCCTTTAATCTAACCAGGGGAAGGGCATTTCTAAGTCTGTGTCCATGAACTGTGGCCCATGTCAAGACGTAGCTCTGGGCCTGAAAACCCTTTGCCACAGTGACTCATACACATGGGCCGTGGAGAACCAGAGATCCTTTCAGAGTTACGGCAGCAATACCTCTCTCACCTCGCAAGAGTTGTCCTTTACAGATATTTATCCAGACAACTCCGCTCACACCGAGTCTCAGGTATGTAAAAATACCCACAATAAAAAGTGGATTTATTAACAGAGTAGTTTATTTTAACACCCGCAGACATGAGCTCACCAAATATTTTTTTCAACCGTAAAAGAGAGCACATTACCATTTGAAATGTCACATTTTACATTTTGGGATGTTTCTTTACTCCATTAAAGTCATGCCCATTTGGCTTATCATCAAATGAGGATTTCGCTAAAGCTGTCATTTTACATGTGGCGTTTATTTGTCTTTCAGTACTGCACTCCTCCTCGAATCTCCCGCACCATGTCAATGGGGAGAAACCTTTCTGCTATTGCACATGAGGTACAGTAAGCTTTGCTTCTAAAGTAAGTGTGATTGTAGGGCTGCCAAAAGTGAAAGTAGATTTTTTTTATGGTTCTGTTAAATTTCCCTTCCCTATGCTATCTTAGAGGCGTCATATTGAGATAATAGAGCTTACCAATGATGGGAAAGGCCTCGGTTTTGGAATTGTAGGAGGACGTAGCACTGGAGTTTTGGTCAAGACCATCCTGCCTGGGGGAGCAGCTGGAAGGGTAAATCTGAGGGGTCATCCAGATGAGAACTGCATTTTTTAAAGTGTTTTTTCTTTATCGTTTCAGGCTTGTGTCCACATGGAAACAGCCCTTTAAATGCCCCAAAAGAGCGTTTTTAGAAAAGAAGTTAAAGAGTGAAAATCTTTTAGAAAAACACTCATTTAGAATGTGACAATACCATAGCCCCATTTCTTATCTAACCTACAACCTGATGGTTTCCATGTTTATGTTGTGTTTACATTTAGCCCAGTATGTAAGCATTATGTGGCTGTTTCATGCTTTCTTTCTTGTTTTTCGGTGTATTGTTATGGCAGTGATTGATTTCCACATGCAGGCCCAGCAAAACTTTTCTAGACACAATGCTGGGTTTATGAGAATATTTTTAAAAACACCAAATAAAAACAGTTTCAGAAGACAGGTTTCCATGTGGACAAGGACACTTTTTGAATTAATCTCATAACTAAACCGTTCACAAACTGTCCTTAAATATTGTTTGTATAATCCATCTAAGCATAAGTTAATGTAAATGTATTTTTTTGTGGAAAATTCTTTTCCCAGGATAATCGTCTGCGTGGTGGAGATCAGATCCTTCGCATTGGAGATACGGATTTAGCTGGCATGAGCAGTGAGCAGGTGGCTCAGGTAAAATACAACTTAGAGGGTTAACAGAAGGAGATCAAGTAATTATTTAAAGTAGGGGTCCCTAAGCTGGGGTCCCAAATAAAACATTTTGGATTCTCCCTTGTAAATGTTCTTTGCTAACTAGTTGCCATCAGTTGCAGCCCAGGGAGATATTATCTTAAACATTTTGTACAGATATTAATGTCGCACATGAGAAGATGTCAGAATATAAAAAAGAAAAAAATTGTATAGGTCCTCTGGACGGGTTCTTCTCTAATGAAACGTTTCGTCTCTTCTCCAAGAGACTTCTTCAGTCTGAGAGTTTCAGGCAAAATTCAGGCTTTTAAGCCCTGCCTCCATGTGACTGATACTCTCAGACTGAAGAAGTCTCTTGGAGGAGAGACGAAACGTTTCATTAGAGAAGAACCCATCCAGAAGACCTATACATTTTTTTCATTTTGATTTTTTACCTGGATTACTGAGATGCATCAGGACATATCAGAATATATTTTACATTTTAACAAATGACTGTGTGATACAGGTGCTGCGAAATGCAGGTAACAGGGTGAAACTACTCATCGCCAGAGATGTGACCAGAGACAATCACCTCTCCTCTCCTGTCCTCAGCCAGGACAGTTTGGATGGGAAGGTCTGCTTATTTCTATGTTTGCTGAGTTATAACGGAAAATAAATATGTGATCATTATTGAATGTAGGTGACGTTTTGTGTGTGTGTTTGTCTCTGTGTGTGTTTCTTTTTAGCTTGATTTCAACAGTGATTACGAGTTTAGCATCCAGTTCACTAAAAACAGTCGAGGTCTGGGGTTTACCATCTCAAGCTACGTGGGGGACCTTAACTCAGGTATTCAGCTTAAAAGTGGCAGCTTTAAAAACAAAAGGCTTACTGGTTTTAAAAACACCATGGGAACGTTTTGAAATAAATAATCTGCATATTAACATATTTGTTTTTATAGTGCAGCTGTGGTTTTTGTTGCATTGTGTTTAGTCTACAGTGCTGGTGTGATGGTAAAGAGCATAGTGAAAGGCAGCTCTGTGGATCAGGATGGACGCATGCGCGTTGGAGACATCATCCTCTCTGTAAGTCACAACAGATGGTTCCTTCATTGTTCTCTGAGGAAAATGATCAGGTTTTTTATGAAGTTCTTCTCTGCTCTACGTATTGTTGCATCTTGATATCTAGTTTACATGATTTTGTAATTCTACTCTAATTAGAGCCTATTTTGAAGCTGATGAAGAGGAATTATATTATTGTTTTTTTTTTCTTCTCTACAACCAAGCAAATGCATGGCCATTTGTTTTTACTTGTGCTTTTCATCTGGATCTGTCCTTATTTTTGATTAGTCTAATTATATTTTTATAGTTAGTGTGTCTATTACCAATATATCTCATAAACAACTGAATTTAAAAAAAAACATTTGGCAGTACAAGTTCAACATTTGACATCAACTCACTTCAAGCGGCTACATCTAATTGACATTAGCTAATACAAAAATGACTCCATCAGTTTTAGTTATTTAGCTTAAATATCCTTGCCACCTTAAATTACCCCCAAAACACACCTGCACCCTCAGCGCTTGTTTACTTCTCTGCACTATCTGTCTCATGCCTCAGGTGGATGGAGTGAGTCTTCAGGGCTGCAGTGAACAACGAGCCATGGAAGTGCTCAGGAGGACAGGTTCCCTTGTCAGACTGCGGTTGCTGAGGAAAGCTGTCTGTCTGAGCCACATTCTGCCCCCAGTTCCTCCTCTGCAGCCTCTTCGACACTCCCACAGCTTCCACGAGGGCAACACTTACAGACTGAGCCTCAACAAGATCCAGGAGACAGGTGTGCTGACAGAGACAGATCTCTATAACTGAGCAAAAAGGCATTATTATAAACTTATACTCACTGTAAAAAATCATCCATCTAACCAAGTCTTGCAGTCTTATATCTACCTACCCAAAATATACTTTAGATTTTTTTAACTAACACAAACCTGATACAAGCACAAGCAGAATGTGTTAGATTATTAGTCTTGTAGGTTTGAACACATAACTTGAGATGATTTGGACTATAATCTAGTATTTTTTAAACTCGTAATCATTGCAGTGCTGTTTAACCTTACCTTTAAGAAATTGTTAAATAATTTATTCAGTGTACATCTATATAAAACAAAGAGGAGAAACCATATTTCAGCAAGAAATTACAGTTGTACAAACATAAAACAAAGAAAGTATGTGGGCACTTAATGAATATACAGCATTATAAAATCTCTCCCAGATACCAACACAATCTTTTAATTTATTTCCATTTGCTCTATTTAGCAATTGAAGAACATATCCCTGTTAAACTTTCAACATTATATCACATTTATTTATTATTATATTTTATATGCTTTTTTTCCCATTTCTTAAATTTTGATTTTTCTATTTTTATTTTACTTTATTTTTTTGCCTCAAAATTCTTTTCTTGTGTAATGTGGATATAAACAATAGTTTGTATTTTAATTTTAATTTTAGTTTGGATTTATGTTTTGATGCCTTATATTCTATTTAAAAAAAAGTATTTTTGATTAAAAAAAGGAACCTGAACTTGACTGACAACATTTTTTGGTTGTGGAAAATCAGTAATGATTTAGATCAATAATGATTTAGGTGCATTTGTTCAGTTAATGAACTTTTCTATATCATGCATAAAAAACAAACATAAAAAGAATACATATATTTTATAATACAATGCGTTTGTGTGGATCCCTGCATGTGTGCTCAGACGTGCTCCTCCGTCTCGCAGGAATCTGTTCTCTGCGTGAAATCTCCCGGCGAGCAGCATATGCCAGCAGACGACCCCGATACGATTCCAGAGACGGTAAGCTCCTCTTCCTGCCTTCTGCACAGCGGTCTGGAACTGAATCACACGACTCGCTCTGCTTTGCTGCTTTGGATCACGAAACAGCAATGTGCCAGTGAACCATGCTCTTTGATGGGACTCTATTTATAGTTTTGTGCAATCATGTGTTTATTCAACTCATTCAGCTCATTCCAGATGATTTGTCTCTCACGCCGCTTGCATTTATGGCTTTATTTAGACAAGAATTTTTGGGCCTGATTAGAGCGCACTGACAAATAAGCCATGACTGCTGTTAGGCTTCAATAGACGAATAAGAAAAAAATAACTTTGTCAGGAAATGACAAGCTGGTGGATGTGAATATGCATGCTTGTTTGTATTTAGTGTGCGTGTGCGTGTGCGTGTGTGTGTGTGTGCATGCCTGTGAAATGGCTGTGTGCTGAAATTCAGCTTTGCCTCAGGTTGCCTGAGGTTGTCTTCTTCCTTTCTGAGAACCAAGGAGATGGGTTTTTTTAGAGGCTTCTATTTTTATTTACTTGACCATCAGGAATTTGAAACAATGTGTGTTAATAAATAGGGGAGCTTCGTGTATTTGCGTGTAGATGAAATAAAAAGGATTTTCTGTGTGTGTGTGTGTGTGTGTGTGTGTGTGTGTGTGTGTGTG